TAAAAAAGGGCTGTGGTGCCAATTTTTAAGATCTGTCAAGGCTGAACCTCGCTAGATTTGGCGAGGGGAGCCCTCGCCGGGGCTCACTCCTTGCTTGGGCTCGCTCCTTGCTTAGGCTAGATCTATCGAGGGGAGCTCTCGCTTGGCTGGGCCTCGTTTGTGGTGGGCGGCGGTGACCCTCACCCAGGCGAGGCCAACATGCCATCGGCAAAAGGAAGAAGAAAGGAAAAATGAAAAGAAAGAAAGAAAAATATTATTAAAAATTATTTACGTCAGCGCCGACGGTGCCACATAGGCCGACTAGCGTCCACCTTAACAATATCTGGCCGAAATTAGCCAGAAGGTTTGAAGTGACAGTAAGTCAAAAGGTTTATGACTAAATTGATACAATTAAAAGGTTTAGAACTAAATTAACACCAATGAAATATGTTTCACACTTTTTTGACATATTTCCCTGCTACAACATTAGTGGTGTTCTGCTTGTTTTCCTCCTAACAAAGAAATTAGTCACATACCAATCAAACAACTAAGGGCTTGTTTGATAACACTCATATTTTTCTATTTTTCTGCTCTTTTGTTTCCCAAAACAGAAAATGAACAAAAATTTGTTTGGTAACGTCAGTTAATTTTTCTATTCCCCGTAATAGAAAAGTGGTCAGGATAGATTTGGAACAAAAACAAGAAGTAAAAAAAATCCACTTCTTTGTTCCCGACAACAATTTCTAAAACAAGGTTATCTTCTTTTTTTCTTCCTTCTTTTTTCTCCTCTAATTGGTCGCTGGGCCTCGGCAATGGCCGGTGAGCCTCCACGGCGAGGCTCGACCTCGCCTAGCTACTGCGAAGTCGGGCTCGCCATATGGGGAGCCCGACCTCGTCAGTCCTTGTCTTTGGCCGGTCACTAGCCATCATCAAGGCCTGGCGACCAGCTAGAGGAGGAAGAAGAATGGAGGAAAAAAAGAAAAAAATTAGAAAAATCTCAAAAAATTAATAGAAACTATAAAAAAATTTCACATCACAAAAAAATTATAGGGTCGTACCAAACGCTTTTGTATTTTTTTCTATTCCGAGAATAGAAATTTTGTACGATTACCAAACGCGTTCTTCTGCTCAGAAACTCATCAAGGAATAAAAATAGAAAAAACCTTTTTTAAAAAGAAATTATTTTCGGGAACAGAAATGTTACCAAGTGAACAAATGTTGTGGAAAAGAATGAATGAATCTCTCGAGAAGTTTGCACTATTTACAAAGTGCCGCGACTCTTTTACTAATATGCATTGACAAAAATGAATGTGGTGCGAAAATTATAAAATGCTGAATGGGGATTAGCTCGCGCTTCGGCTTAGCATCTCTTTGTACTGAAGGTATGAAATTTGCCTTTGCAGCTTCATTTGTTCGTAGAATTTAGCTATGAACTCCTCTGCTCTTGTGTCAATCCCTTGCTCTTCCTCAATTTCCATTCTTCCATCCTCCTCCTCCTCGTCAAAACGAGTTTCCTCTTCGCCTCCATTTTCGAGGAAGCTCTTCCTCACAGCGTCGTACCCGTAGCATAGTCGGTCATCATCATCGTCAAACTCTGGATCGAAATCGACGTGGGGGTTTATGCACGGGATGTGCGGCAAGTGAAACCGCATCGACCCCGGGCGGTGCATCTTCACGTGGACAACCGGCGTCTTCTCGAACGAGAGCTCGCGCTCTCTATACCAGATTTGGCTGTGCGGTGTGGCCTGGCCGAGGGTCTTGAGGAACTTGGGCACGAGGCGGAGCTGCAACTTGAACGCCCCGCCTTTCCTCACCCAGAGCAGCGCTGCGCGCAAGAGGTTCCACGCGCTGCGAGAAGCACTAGACGACTTCCTTGGCATTCTTCTGACTTTCAAGCTGAGTAGTGTTGCCTTGAGAGAAAGTAGTGCAGCTGGAAAAGATAAATGACAGAAGATGAAAAGAGTGTGTGCAGAGCTCTTTATGTTCAGGATGATCTGAGTGAATGAGCAGAGTTACAGAAGCGTTTATATATGGATGGGAATTCTGCGTGGCACGCGGTGTTGTGGAGAGAAAGAGTGGTTTGGTGTGGGGACGTGAATGGTGGGCGGTGGGATCTTGCGAGCAACACGCTGTTAGCTGTACTTTGCTGTTAGAAGTCCCTTCATTACTCTTTCCTTTTCTTCTCATGCAAGATATCGAAATTCTTCAACTCAATTGATCTTGATAAGTGCCAATTCACGTGTGTCGGGTAAATTTCACCAAGAGGGTCGCCGGCGTGCTCTCAAGGTTACTCCCAGTGAAAGTCATTTATTCGAATGCATCATATGCTGTATTTATGCCTAGGGATTAATCACTTGATCCTTAACTCTTTAAGGAGTCGCTAAAGAGCAATTTTTTCACTATCAGTATTATGTTGACGAGTGCCCCCTAAGGGCACCGGTAAAACAATCAATTGAGCAAATTTTACATTTTCAATATATTGATTATTTTTGTATTATACGCAATTAATATCATAAAGATTGAATTATTTCAAATAACGTACACCTTAAATATAAAAACGCGGGCATTATATTTTGGAAGCTACCAAGGCTTTATTTTGTCAGAAAATTCTTCTCTGTTTTTTTTAATGGTTTTCCCTATGTTTTGGCCAAATTGATGAATGTTTAAGTGCACTCAATCCCATGTCATGATATGTACTTCTGCTGGTATAGTTGGGGAACTCGAAAGAAAAAAAAATCAAAATTTATTTCTAGCCTTGCTTTATCTTTCACATTCACACTAGCCAATTTTGTTTTCCTTCTCAGTCGAGCTTAGAAATTAGACTTGAAGACTGTGGCAAAATTTTTCTTTTAAAAGATCTTGATCTCCGGCTCGCTGACTTGAACGCAGGAAGAACTCAACAAGCAAATCCTCAATGTGCCCAATAAATTTGCATTCGAATTACGAATATCCATATCATTACCATGAAGTTTTAGTTTCCCCCTTTTTCAAAATTTCAAAATTTACCATTATTTAATTTTTTCCCATTTTCTATTGGCGACACTCAACATTACATTCAATTTAGAAGGAAGGCAATTGTTGATCATTCATGACCCCATGAATGGTAGGCTCCATATTTTAATTCACAAAATACTAAACAAAGGTCGAGGGCTTCTCTGCCTAAGTAAACGGCTGTCGATTGAAGGGGGACAGTAATGGAAGAATGATGGGTTGTCTTGTTGCCTGGATTCTTCTAAACCGTGTAAGGAAACTTCCCTTACTGATAGGATGTTTCGTTTCCTTATGAGTGATTATCAGTCAAAATCTTTCAAGTCAACAATTAATTATTTATAATACAATACAATTAATAGTTAAAGTCCTTAAAAAATGCAGCATAGCGAGTGAGAAATTTCACAACCCAAGTCATTGGAGAAAACATTAAGTAGGCCAAGAATCTATAGTTTCATGTATTTCAAATTGAATTCTTTACATTTAGTTTGGTTTCTGTGTGGTTCATGAACCTTGACATTTTTTTTTCAATTTAAAACACTCAAAAACTCTCACTTTTTGCCACCCTATATAACATTTCCATAAAATTTTTCAATAATATTTTAAAACTTAGAGGATAAAAAATGTTTTTTTTCTTTTTATTGATCGAAATAAAACCTTAATTTTTTAGTTGACCAACTGACAAAATGTTGAGTCTAGTTTATAGATTTATGAAACAAAAAAAAGGTCACAATGAACACAAATTTCCATTCAATTTAAAGAAATATTGATTTGTCACTTTCTTCTGATTTCCAAGACAGCAAAGCAAATTGAGCTGGACCAAAATCGCCGGTTTGGCCCAAATTTCATGGCAGTTCGTGGGCAACCAGCAAGACATCATTATATTAAATTAACTAAAAAACAATTTTAAAAAAGGGATGTGATGCCAATTTGCCAGATTTGCCAAGGCCGACCCTCGCCCTAGCCTTGGCGAGGGCCGGCCTCGCCATATTTGGCAAGGGGAGCCCTCACCGAGGCTCGCTTCTCACCCAGGTGAGGCCTGGCGAGGGTTGGCAACATAAAAATAGAAAAATATGAGTGTTACCAAACAGGCCCTTAGTTGCCTAATTGGTACGTGACTAATTTCTTCGTTAAGAGGAAAATAAGCATAACACCTCTAATGTCAAGCAAGGAAAAAGGTCAGAAAGGTGTGAAACCTATTGCATTGGTGTTAAGTTAGTCATAAACCTTTTTATTGTGTTAATTTAGTCTTAAACCTTTTGACCTAGTACTACTTCAATCCTTTTGGCTAATTTTGGCCAGATATTGCTGAGATGGACGTCGGATAGGTTATGTGACACCGACGGCGCTGACGTGAATAATTTTTAATAATATTTTACTTTTTCTCGATTTTTTCTTCTTTTTTTTCTTTTTTCCTTTCTTCTTCCTTTTACCGACAATTGTCTAGGTTTCCTTGGAAAAGAAAAATAACAAAAATCCCTTTGGTTACGTTAGTTAATATTTATATTCCTCGGAATAGAAAAGTGGCTAGGGAATAGATTTGGAACAGAAACAAGAAATAAAAAAAAAATACACTTCTTTGTTCTTGGGAACAATTTCTAAAATAAGGTTATTTTCTTCTTCTTTTTTCTTATTTTCCTTCCTTCTTCTTCCTCCTCTACCCAGTCTTTGGGCCTCGGCGATGGTCAGTGAGGCTTGACCTCGCCCAACCACAACGAGGTCAGGCTTGCGACGGCCGGACGAGGTTGACCTTGCGGTTGCTAGGCAGGTCGAGCCTTTGTCTCTAGCCGGTCGTTGACCATCGCCGACCATCGCCGAGGCTCGGCAACTAGTTAGAGGAGGAAGAAGAAGGGAGGAAAAAAAGAAAAAAGAAATTCAAAAAATTAGAAAAATCTCAAAAATCATTACTTTCCACGTCACAAATTTTTTTTAAAGTAGTACCGAACGCTTTTGTATTTTTTTCTATTCTAAGAAGAGAAATTTTATACGATTACCAAACGCGTTCTCGTCAAAGAATAGAAATAGATAAAATTATTTTTAAAAAAAAATTATTTTCTAGAACAGAAATGTTACCAAGTAGGCAAATGTCGTGGAAAAGAATGAATGAAACTCTCGAGAACTGTGCACTATTTACAAAGTGCCGCGACTCTTTTACAAATATGCATTGACAAAAATGGAATGTGGTGCGAAAATTATCAAATGTTGATTGCGGGATTAGCTCGCGCTTTGGTTTAGCATCTCATTGTACTGAAGGTATGAAATTTGCCTTTGCAGCTTCATTTGTTCGTAGAATTTAGCTATGAACTCCTCTGCTCTTCTGTCAATCCCTTGCTCTTCCTCAATTCCCATTCTTCCATCCTCCTCCTCGTCAAAACGAGTTTCCTCTTCGCCTCCATTTTTTAGGAAGCTCTTCCTCACAGCGTTGTACCCGTAGCATAGCCGGTCGTCATCATCCTCAAATTCTGGATCGAAATCGACGTGGGGGTTTATGCACGGGATGTGCGGTAAGTGAAACCGCATCGACCCCGGGCGGTGCATCTTCACGCGGACAACCGGGCTCTTTTCGAACGACAGCTCGCGCTCTCCATACCAGATTTGGCTGTGCGGTGTGGCCTGGCCGAGGGTCTTGAGGAACTTGGGCACGAGGCGGAGCTGCAACTTGAACGCCCCGCCTTTCCTCACCCAGAGCAGCGCTGCGCGCAAGAGCTTCCACGCGCTGCGAGAAGCACTAGACGACTTCCTTGGCATTCTTCTGACTTTCAAGCTGAGTAGTGTTACTTTGAGAGAAAGTAGTGCAGCTGCAAAAGATAAATTAGAGAAGATGAAAAGAGTGTGTGCAGAGCTCTTTATGTTTAGGATGATCTGAGTGAATGAGCAGAGTTATAGAAGCGTTTATATATGGATGGGAATTTTGTGTGGCACGCGGTGTCGTGGAGAGAGAGAGGTTTGGTGTGGGGACGTGAATAGTGGGCGATCTGGGGAGCAACACGCGGTTAGCTGTACTTTGCTGTTAGAAGTCCCTTCATTACTCTTTCCTTTTCTTCTCATGCAAGATATTGAAATTCTTCAACTCGATTGATCTTGATGAGTGCAACTTCATGTGCGTCGGGTAAATTTCACCAACAGAGTCGCCGGCGTGGTCTCTAGGTTGCTTGGAGTGAAAAGTCATTTATTCGAATGCATCATATGCCGTATTTATGCCTAGCGATTAATCACTTAATCCACAACTCTTTAAAGAGTCACCAAAGAGCAATTTTTTCATTATCAATATTGTGTTAACGAGTGCCCCCTAAGGACACTGGTAAAACAATCAATTGAGCAAACTTTACATTTTCAATATATTGATTATTTTTGTATTGTACGCAATTAATATCATAAAGATTGAATTATTTCAAATAATATAGACCTTAAATATAATACCCGATTATATTTTGGAAGCTACCAAACCTTTATTTTATCAGAAAATTCTTCTCTGCTTTTTTTTTTTTGGTTTTCCTTTTTTTTTGGCCAAATTGATGAATGTTTAAGTGCACTCAATCCCATGACATGATATTTACTTCTGCTGGTATAGTTGGGTAACTCGAAAGAAAAAAAAATCAAAATTTATTTCTACCCTTGCTTTATATTTCACATTCACACCAGCCAATTTTTGTTTTCCTTCTCAGTCGAGCTTACGAATTAGACTTGAAGATTGTGACAAAATTTTTCTTTTAAAAGAACTTAATCTCCGGGCCGACCTGAACGCGGGAAGAACTCAACAAGCAAATCCTCAATGTACCGAATAAATTTGCATTCGAATTACGAATATTCATATCATTATCGTGAAGTTTTAGTTTCTCCCCTTTTTCAAATTTTCAAAATTTACCATTATTTAATTTTTTCGCATTTTCGATTGGCGACATTCGACATTACATTCAATTTAGAAGGAAGGCAATCATTGATCATTCATGACCCCATGAATAGTAGGCTCCATATTTCAAATCACAAATTAATAAACAAATGTCGAGAGCTTCTTTGCCCAAGTAAACGGTTGTTGATTGTAGAGAGAGAGTAATGGAAGAATCATGGACTGTCCTGTTGCCTGGATCCTTCTAAACCGTGTAAGGAAGCTTCACTTATTCATAGGATGTGTCGTTTCTTTATGAGTGATTATCAGTCAAAATCTTTAAAGTCAACAATTAATTATTTAAATAAGATTAATATCACGAAAAATCTCAAACTGATACATTTATGACAATTTTATTTCGAACTAATTTTTTGACCACTAAAAGCCTCAAACTAGTATACATGTAACAATTTTAGCTCGAACAAATTTTTTGATCACCAAAAACCCCAAACTGGTACACCTGTGATAATTTTACGCTGAACTAATTTTTTAACCACCAAAAGCCTCAAACCGGTACACTTGTGACAATTTTACCCCAAACTAATTTTTTTACTACTAAAAATCTCAAACTGATAAATTTGTGACAAATTTACCCTCTGTTAGTATCCATTAAATTGGATTAATATCACGAAAAATCACAAATAGGTAAACTCGTGACAAACAGAGGGGTAAAACCTCAAATTAGTACACCCTTCAACTATTACGTGCCATCAAACTTAGCAATTTGACAGTAAAATTTAACGAAAATTAATGGAGGGTAAATTTGTTACAGGCGTATCAGTTTAAGGTTTTTGATGGTTAAAAAATTAGTTTGAGGTACAATTGTCATAGGTGTACCAGTTTGGAATTTTTGATGGTCAAAAAATTAATTTGGGGTAAAATTGTCACAGGTATACCAGTTTGGGGTTTTTGATGGTCAAAAAATTAGTTTCGGGTAAAATTGTCACAGGTATTCCAGTTTGGGGTTTTTTGTGGTCAAAAAAATAATTTGGGGTAAATTTGTCACATGTGTACCGGTTTAGGGTTTTTCATGGTATTAACCCTAAATAATACAATACAAGTAGCGATTAAAGTCCTTCAAAAATGCAGCATAGAGAGTGAGAAAATTGACAACCCAAGTCATTGGAGAAAACATTAAGTAGGCTAATAATCTATAGCTTCATGTATTTCAAATTGAATTCTTTACATTTAGTTTGGTTTATGTGTGGTTCATGAACCTTGACACTTTTTTTTTCGATTTAAAACGCTCAAAAACTTTAACTTTCTGCCACCTTATATAAAATTTCCATAAATTCTTTCAATAATATTTTAAAACTTAGAGGATAAAAAATGTTTTTTCTTTTTATTGATCGAAATAAAACCTTAAATTTTTAATTGACCAACAGACAAAATGTCGAGTCTAGTCTATAGATTTATGAAAAAAGTAAGGTCACAATGAACACAAATTTCCATTCAATTTAAAGAAATATTGATTTGTCACTTTCTTCTTATTTCCAAGACAACAAAGCAAATTGAAGTTGACCAAAATCGCCAGTTTGGCCCAAATTTCATGGCAGTTCGTGGGTAACCAGCAAGACATCATTATATTAAATTAAATTAAAAAAATTAAAAAAAGGGCTGTGGTGCCAATTTTTAAGATCTGCCAAGACCGACCTTCGCTAGATTTGGCGAGGGGAGCCCTTGCCGGGGCTCGCTCCTTGCCTAGGCCAGATCTAGCGAGGGGAGCCCTTGCTTGGCCGGGCCTCATTTGTGGCGGGCGGCGGTGACCCTCACCCTGGCGAGGCCAGCGTACCATTGGCAAAAGGAAGAAGAAAGGAAAAATTAAAAGAAAGAAAGAAAAATATTATTAAAAATTGTCCACGTCGGCGCCGGCGGTGCCGCATAGGCCGGCCGGCATCCACCTTAACAATATCTGGCCAAAATTAGCCAGAAGGATTGAAATGATAGTAGGTCAAAAGGTTTATGACTAAATTGGCATAATTAAAAGGTATATGATTAAATTAACACCAATGAAATATGTTTCACACTTTTTTGACACTTTTCCATGCTACGACATTATTGGTGTTATGCTTGTTTTCCTCCTAACAAAGAAATTAGTCTTGTACCAATCAAACAACTAAGGGCCTGTTTCGTAACACTCGTATTTTTCTATTTTTCTGCTCTTTTGTTTCCCGAAATAGAAAATGAACAAAAATCCGTTTGGTAACGTAAGTTAATTTTTCTATTCCCCATAATAGAAAAGTGGTTAGGATAGATTTGGAACAAAAAAAAAGAAGTAAAAAAAATCCACTTCTTTGTTCCCGAGAACAATTTCTGAAACAAGGTTATTTTTTTACTTTTCTTTTTTTCTTCCTTCTTTTTTCTCCTCTAGCCGGTCGCTGGGCCTCGGCAATGGCCGATGAGGCTCCACGGCGAGGCTCGACCTCGCCCAGCCACTGCGAAGTTGAGCTCGCCATATGGTGAGCCCGACCTCGTCAGTCCTTGTCTTTGGCCAGTCACTGGCCATCGTCAAGGCCTGGCGACCAGCTAGAGGAGGAAGAATAAGGGAGGAAAAAAAAATTAGAAAAATCTCAAAAAATTAATTAAAAACTATAAAAAACTTTCACATCACAAAAAAATTGTAGGGTCATACCAAATGCCTTTGTATTTTTTATTCTATTTCGAGAATAGAAATTTTGTACGATTACCAAACGCGTTCTTCTGCTTAGAAACTTGTCAGGGAATAAGAATAGAAAAAAAAATTTTAAAAAAAAATTATTTTCGGGAATAGAAATGTTATCGAGTGGACAAATGTTGTGGAAAAGAATGAGGGAATCTCTCGAGAAGTTTGCACTATTTACAAAGTGCCGCGACTCTTTTACAAATATGCATTGACAAAAATGAATGTGGTGCGAAAATTATCAAATGCTGAATGGGGATTAGCTCGCGCTTCGGCTTAGCATCTCATTGTACTGAAGGTATGAAATTTGCCTTTGCAGCTTCATTTGTTCGTAGAATTTAGCTATGAACTCCTCTGCTCTTGTGTCAATCCCTTGCTCTTCCTCAATTTCCATTCTTCCATCCTCCTCCTCGTCAAAACGAGTTTCCTCTTCGCCTCCATTTTCGAGGAAGCTCTTCCTCATAGCGTCGTACCCGTAGCATAGTCGGTCGTCATCATCGTCAAATTCTGGATCGAAATCGACGTGGGGGTTTATGCACGGGATGTGCGGCAAGTGAAACCGCATCGACCCCGGGCGGTGCATCTTCACGTGGACAACCGGGGTCTTCTCAAACGAGAGCTCGCGCTCTCCATACCAAATTTGGCTGTGCGGTGTGGCCTGGCCGAGGGTCTTGAGGAACTTGGGCACGAGGCGGAGCTGCAACTTGAACGCCCCGCCTTCCCTCACCCAGAGCAGCGCTGCGCGCAAGAGCTTCCACGCGTTGCGAGAAGCACTAGACGACTTCCTTGGCATTCTTCTGACTTTCAAGCTGAGTAGTGTTGCCTTGAGAGAAAGTAGTGCAGCTGTAAAAGATAAATGACAGAAGATGAAAAGAGTGTGTGCAGAGCTCTTTATGTTCAGGATGATCTGAGTGAATGAGCAGAGTTATAGAAGTGTTTATATATGGATGGGAATTTTGTGTGGCACGCGGTGTTGTGGAGAGAAAGAGAGGTTTGGTGTGGGGACGTGAATAGTGGGCGGTGGGATCTGGGGAGCAACACGCTGTGAGCTGTACTTTGTCGTTAGAAGTCCCTTCCATACTCTTTCCTTTTCTTCTCATGCAAGATATCGAAATTCTTCGACTTGATTGATCTTGATAAGTGCCAGTTCATGTGTGTCGGGTAAATTTCACCAACAGGGTCGCCGGCATGCTCTGAAGGTTATTGTGAGTGAAATTCATTTATTCGAATGCATCATATGCCGTTCTATGCCTAGCGATTAATCACTTAATTCACAGCTCTATAAAACCGAAGAGCAATTTTTTTAT